CAATTCAGTGAGATCTTGTCTCAAAATATATCTACATAAATAAAAGATGCAAATGCAGCTCAATGGTACAGCATTTGCCTACTATGTTTGAAGCCATAGGTTCAGTCTCTAGCACTGCAAAGAAAAAAAGTGAAGCTGTGCTCTTTAAGGACTCGAAGATCTTTCATTCTTGCAGCTGCTGTGCCTAACCCAATGCTTGGTTGCAGCAAGGCTCGATGCATCTCACCAAATCTGAGCAGTGATAACACTGGGAGTGTGGCAACACGGACCTTTAGAAACTCTGCCTTTCAGCATGGCTCTGCAATCTTGTCCATCTCTGCCATTGTCACTGAGAGTGTGTATGTGCATGTGTGTGCGTGCTAGGATACATTCCTTTGTGAGAGATACAGATCCCAGGAAATTGTCAAAGAAAGAGGGACCTGAATCTCATGTCAAACTATGAGGCATCAAGACTGATAATCTTCCAGTCCTAGCCCAGGCCCCGGTGAGTGTGTGGGAGAGCCTCCTGCTACCCTGCGCCAGTGGGACCTGCTGGTCCCAGCCCAGGTGCAGCGTGGGTGAGACCCCCTTCCACTCCCTTGGGACCCCACCACCACTCCGTATCACCACCCCTTGCCCGCCAAGTGAGAATTTCTGCTGTGTTCTGGGAACCCCCAGATCCAGCCCTAACCCAGGCCCAGTGAGTGTGTGGGAGAGCTTCCTCTCCCCCCTACTCCACCTTATCCCCTCCAGACTCAGCTCAGGCCTGGCATACAGGCCTGGGGTGAAACCCTTCAGCTACAATCCCTGCCAAAAGAGTAGGGGACAAAGCCACCCAACTAGTCCAGGAGCAGAACATCTTGTCAGAGGGGCACAACAGGATCACTCCAAGGGCAGCAGCAGGAAGGAGCTGAGCATAGCAGCCAGACCCAAGCCAGGCACAGCAGGATAAATCCAAACTTTGTAGATCTACACCTGAACTTCAGTAGGTGCTAAGGTTACAACTGCACCAAATCTCTACAACAAGGTCAGAAGACAGTGCTACACAAAATGACAACGAGAAGGAGCAAAATGCAATCTCAGATCCCAGGCCCACCCATAAAAAGGGCAGAGGACACTAACACAGAACAAATTGGGAACCACACAGCTGAAATCAATGAATCAACGGCTTCTGAATTAAAGAAACAACTGCAGAAAAGTATAGAGGAACTCAGATTGGAAATGAAAAAATAAATCCCTGATTTAATAGCATCTGCAGTAAACAATCAAATGCAGAAACATATGGAAGAAACCCAATGCCCACCCAGAACAAGTGCAGAGGACACTAGCTCAGCTCAAATGTATGAATTAATAGCGTCGAAAGTAAATAAGCAACAGCAGAAAGTTATAGAGGAACTCAGAGCGGAATTCTTTTCTGAAATAAAAAAAGAATTCCTCTGAACTCATAGCATCTGAAGTAAGGAATCAACTACAGAAACATAGGGAGGAAACCCAATCTGAAGAAAATACTGCAGTAAAAGAATTAATAACTGCTTCTAAAGAAGACATTGATAAAAAAAAAAAAGACTGATAATCTGAGAAATTTTACTCATAGGCTAAGGATGAGTTGCTTTAATGGAAAGTTAACAAGCATCAACTCAGCAGTGTGCTAGGAATGAAGAAAAGCAAGGAAAGCATGAGCCCAACTTTATTTGTAATTTGGCTGACTGGACAGATACTGTAAATGAGAGTTTAATTCAGCATGTGACACAGACAACTGGGAATGTATGAGAGGTCAGTAGGCTTGGAGAAGTGGATGAAAATCTCACAAAGAAAAGCATGCAGAGACTGAGGTGTGGCCACTGCAGTCCTGGGACAGCTGCCATGGCAAGCGGGGAGGTTTTGAGAGCAGAGAAATGTGGCACTAAATGCTGACAGGACTTTCTTCTTCCTGCCGCTTGACCTTGCCTCTCTAATCTTCTCAGATCTCATCTTTAGAGCTGAGAGTGTCCCAGGGTGTGGGAAGGATTAAGTTAGATTGTGCCTGTGACACCCACAGTGGTGACAGTGCCCTTGATTGGAGTGGAAGATTGAGAAGACTGAAGGACGGCAAGGTCAGTGTGGCAGATGTGCTTACTGACAGGGAGGTCTCTGTCCAGGCTCACACTTCACATTCAGAGAGAAAGAGAGAGAGAGAGAGAGAGAGAGAGAGAGAGAGAGAGAGAGGAAGCCATAGATGGGTGAGCTCTTTGTGGACGACTGAGCAAGAGGGACAGAAGCAAGCCCCAGGGAGGCACAGACATGCGCGACTTCAGGTCTGAACAGCGTTAGCTTCCTTCCTGTGTGCTTCACCTACTATATGCAAATCATGCTGGTCCCTCTGCAGCTTCCTTCTACTTCCCTGTAGCAACCTGTCTCTAGCCCAATCCTCTTACACACTGAGGTGAGGAAGACAGAAGGAATCAGAGCAAATCCATCACCATCCAAAGCCAGTGCTCTCTGGACAGTTGAATTGGTACCCAATGCATAGCACCCGGCTGATATGACAGTGCTGGATTGAAGTCAGAAACTGCCAGAGTGGGTATAAGGCTCATGAGATGTCACTCATTCATCTCCCTGGCAAAGACACCCCAAGACCTGCAAGGATGCCTCACCCTGTCTTGATGCTGTCATGACAGAGATGAGTAACACAGTCTCTGCCCTCTGGAATACAGACTCGTTACCCATGATGAAGGGAGACCAGACCTATGATGGGGTGGGAAAGTGCCCAGCAGACCACATTTAGCAGCAGTGGACTCTGCCACAGGCCCTTCAAGTGGTCATTTAGGGACTCATCAAAGTGAAGAGAAGAGGTCACTCCCCTCCCTCACTCCCTGGTGAATGTCATCCCTTCTTCTGACACTTTTAATTTAAACCCTTACAAGATGCTCTTTTCTTTCCTCATTCTGATCTTATGTTTCAACCCTTAGCATCCTTTCTGAAGCTGTCCTGTGTCACCTCCACCTTCCACCCACTTGTCACCACTGCCCACTGCCTGCCCTAGTTCTTTGGCCTAGTCAGACCTGCCACTCAGGGGACAGATCGAGCTTTCCTCCTCCCCATGCCAGGTCATCCAGAGGCAGCCCCCACCCTGGCCTGGAGGGTGGTACCCAACTGCAGTACAAGAAAGATCCTCAGCTGAGTCCATAAGCATTCACTTTCACACTAAAAGCTCCAAGCACTTTTTAAAAAATGACAGTAGTATGTGTGAAGAACTTTTACAAGTATCTCTATTTTTTAAATTTTTTATTCATTTTAATGATAAAAAAGATAAAATAGCAATGAAATAGTTTCAAAAAAAGATTAGTAGGACAGTTACAATAATTAATATATTGAGGACAAGATGTAGACATGAGATCTTGTCTAAACACTATTAGTACAAACCTTTCTTCTCATTGAACTAGGAGAAAGTAGCTGTATATCTATCCTATTTTTTACGTACTCATTTTACTTTTTGAAATCTGTCTCAAGAGATGGAGGCAGGGTGTTGATCTACAAAGATACTCATAGCACTTTTTACACAAATATATTTGAAACCAAATAATTATCCCAAAATGACCACCGCTAGAAATCTCTTGGCAAATATTTGATAACCTGGAAGACTGCTGGGATATATGATGAAATGAAAACACAATGCTGAGCTGTGGGCTGAACTGAGGGGGATCTGAGTCCTGGAAACAAGCTTGACAGGGAAACTTGGGGCCTTGGTCAAAATAACAAACTTCATTTTCAAAACGGAGATAATATGGGGCATAGTGACACATACCTGTAATGCCAGCACTCAGAAGCCTGAGGCAGGAATGAGTTCAAAACCAGCATGGGCTACATAGTGAGTTCAAAGTTAGCCTACACTTCATAATGAGGCCCTGCCTCAAAAAAAAGAAAAGAGCTAACAATAGCAAATGCCATGTGGACTGTCCTGAGTATAAGGTATATTAAACAGTATTATGCCTGGCCAGTAGACACTGTATTATTATTATTATTATTATTATTATTATTATTATTATTATTATTAAACTCAGTGGGCCATCACTGCTGGACTTGAGGGAACAGGGCACTTGGAAGTGGAATAGGTCAGGAGATCTTGCTGTACTTAAAAGAGCACAGATTGAAGGTGATTGGCAGAGGACAAAGAAGGAGTTGGCTGGCAGAGGGGGACAATGACTCTTGAGGAATAAACCCAATGTTCTCTCTCCTTTGAAGAAGAATTTTTCAGGCCAGGAGATAGCTCAGTGGTACAAGTGCCAGCCTGATAAGTGCAAGGTTCTGAGTTCAATCCCTCGTACAAAAAAAAAAAAAAAAATCCTCTCAGTACAGACTCTCACCTTTCTTTTCTTTTTTCTTTCTTTTTTTTTTTTTTTTCCTTTTTTTGCAGAACCGGGGATTGAACTCAGGCCCTTGCGCTTGCCAGGGAAGCGCTTATTCTACTGAGCCATCTCCCTGGCCCAGACTCTCACCTTTCTAAGCTTTGTTACACAGTCTTCTATTCCTGGCTTGCTCTATGGTGCTTTCCTAAAGAAACTTCCAAAATACTATTTCCAGGGTAAAAGAGAAATACAAGCTGCAGAACCTTTATCTAAGAACCTCATGGTTCTGGTCAGTCATTCTAACATCAGAAAGAAATAGAATCGCCGCTCTTTGGTTTGAAAACCGGGCCTTAAAAACAGGTTTAAGAGTGAGGCTGAGTCAGGCCTAAGACTTGCCAGAGCAAGGCATGCCTGCCCCGTGCTGCTGGCATGGGCAGGAGACCTGACAACATGCTAGACTTTCTGTTGGCTCTGGAGGGCTTGGAGGAGCAGCCAGTATCCTGACCTTTAAAGTCGGTCCATGAGCTCAGAACACGAGAGGGAGATTGGAAACATCACCAACCCACGCCCCAGACAGCTCCAGCCTCGTCTACAGATGCCATGTGAATGTTTTCCCCAGGTCCTGGGCCACAGGCTCAGGAATCCGCAGAGTTCCTGAGTCAGAGCCCACAGGTGGTATTTCTGCCCTTCCTGCAGTGATGCGGTGCCTGGGGATCCCCACTCGCGTGATCACCAACTTTGATTCTGGCCACGACACTGATGGCAACCTGATCATAGATGAATACTATGACCACACAGGCAGGATTTTGGCAAACAAGAAGAAGGATACTGTCTGGTGAGAAACGCCCTCTAGGTCTATTTGGAGGGGCACATCTAAGCCAACGCCCACAAGCAGGAAAGGGAGGCAGGACTGTGTCCATAGCCTGCTCCTTCACTCATCCCTCTACCCCTCGCCAACCCCAGGACTTGGTACCCGCATGTGAAGGCTGGGAAGCAGATGAACAAAAGCAATTTGGGGCTTAGAATCTTTCTGTGTCTGTCTCCAGAGCTCTTCCCCCTGGGTAGAGGCTTCCCTCGGCAACTTGTTCATCAGCCCATGGTTTTGACCAGTAGAGGGCTCAGAGTCACACCTCTGGACACAAAAACTATGAATGTCCTCACAATGATGTGTTCAAGGAAGAGTCTGTGAGGACATTTCTAAATATTTTAACATCTTTTTTTTTTTCAGAACTGGGGATTGAACTCAGGCCCTTGTGCTTGCCAGGCAAGCGTTTATTATACTGAGCTATCTCCCCAGCCCATGAGGACATTTCTGAGAAAGCATAAAAGAGTTTTAGTGTCAGTAGCCCAGAAGCCTTCACTCTCTAATCACACAGTCAGCAGAGAAAGGTTTTTTCTGGAGGCCTTGGCTGCTCATGGGAGGATGATCTAGCACTCTTCACACAGAGGTCTGGGCCTGTGGGTGCTACATCTAACAGTGTTCTCACCCATCTTGCTCTAGAAACAAGATAAGCAGGACAACATCTCCTTAAGCTTCAGTTAACCCTTATTCCTCTGGTTTGCCCTCCAGGAACTTCCATGTCTGGAATGAGTGCTGGATGGCCCGGAGCGACCTTCCCCCTGGATACGGAGGCTGGCAGGTGCTGGATGCCACCCCTCAGGAGACCAGCAATGGTGAGACTAACCAGAGAGAAGGCAGCACCCACTCCCCCAGCACCTCCGTCTGCTCCTGTCTGGCTTCCACAAACTGCTCCCTCCCTACTACCACCCGGGACTCTCCTGTTCTCCTCTAGGCCTCTACTGCTGTGGCCCTGCCTCAGTCAGAGCCATCAAAGAAGGAGAAGTGGGTCTGAACTATGACACACCCTTTGTGTTTGCCATGGTGAATGCTGACTGCATGTCCTGGCTTGTCTATGGAGGGAAGGAACAGAAGCTTCACCAGGACACAACTTCCGTTGGCCACTTCATCAGCACTAAGAGCGTCCAGAGTGATGGGCGGGACGACATCACAGACAACTACAAGTATAAAGAAGGTATAGCCAGGCAACCCCACTCAGAGGCCAACCCCACAGGCACCTTCCCTGAGCCTGCAGGCATCTGCTCCATGTCCAGCCATCAGCTCTAACATCTTAGTTGGGGATCCCCACTCTCTCTTTCCTGTGCCCACCACCACCCCACATCCCAGAGCCCAGTGAGGTCCTCCCGGAAGTTCATGGTGATTAGAGAGCTGTTCCCAGGCATCCCATCAGCAGAACATGAATCCTTTGCCTTTGCTTCCTGACAACTCCATCTCCCTCTGGAGATGGCAAGTGACTTAACTGTCTCACTCTCTCCTACTGGTTATTTTATTTTCTTTAACCTGCTGCTTAATTGTGACTTCCTGTTGGGAAGACAGACCAAAACCCAAGGGAACATTTAGGCTGCTATAAAGCCAGATACTCCCTCCCATACTTCCTGAGGGGCCAGCAGGGGCACAGGGTGATTCTGAGGAGCCAGCCAGGGCTGGGGCTTCTTAACAGGGCCACAGAAAAGGCTACATTAGTCAAGTGCAAATAGTTTCTTAGAAACTGAGAAAGGACTACTTCCAGGTTCACCTCTCAGAGAGGCCAGAGACAAGTGCAGTCAGCTCTCTGTATTTGCATAGGTTTTGAACCCAAGTATTCAACTAATTGTGTGTTGAAAATAGTGGGGAAAGAATTTCCTTCTGTGCCAAACATGTCCTCACTTTTCTCCTTGTCATTATGCCTAAATTCGTACAGTGTAATAACTGCTCACATAGTGTGGCCATTGTATAAGTTATCACTAACTCATGTGGAGGTGCTTTAAAGTCTGCAGGAAGACATGTGTAGATTATATGCAAACACTCTACCACTTTATGTAAGAGGCTTGAGCTGCTTTGAATGTTGGTATCATTGGGGGTCTTGGCACCAATACTGCGTGCTATCAAGTTGTGACTGTGGTGGACACACAGCCTAGCAGCACCTCTCCAGTCTCCATTGACTCTGGAGGTGCCTCAGTTGGCATCCTCCAAAACAGCTCTATAGGCAAAGCTTTAAGTACAAGTGTTTTACCTGGGAGGCACTGCAGTGGATGTTGGTGGGAGTGTGAATGAGTGAGACAGAGAAGTGAAAGAAGACAATCTGGGGGAGGGGTTGAATAATGCTTAACACAATTATGCAACAAATTATATTGTTATCTTAAGTTAAATAGGCCCGTACTTGCTAAATCTGGTAGCCCTGCTGTTGGTTCAGAGAGATGTGTAGACACCACTACAGATTTATGCACCTGAGAGGTGAGGAACTTAGTGTTGAGGGCTGCTCCTTGGAAGTGTAAGTCCTTGACATTTCTGACCTGTCCCATGCATGGGCTGGTCTGTTCCAGGGGCAAAGAAACTCTCAGGAGTCACACCGGCTGCCATCTGAAAGTAGGGCCTGTGGGTACTAAAATGGGACATACCAGGGGGATGTGGGCAGGACTCATTTACTACGAGGTCCATAAAGTCCCCTAATTCATGGAGCCTGAGTTGCCCTACAGTGGCCCTGAGTGGCCTGCTACATCCTGGCTTCCTGGGCCAACAGTCTCCTTTTTTTCTCACCTGGGACTGATGCAATCTGGGGACCAAACAGGTCACAGGTGCCCTGAATGTGATTCGCACCTCTCTGGGCCCATTTTTACTGAGCCGAAAGTCTTAAGATTCTCTTCTGCCTAGAACTGGGCTAAAATAACCCCCAGAGGAAGAGTATCCAAGTGGCCTCTGGCTCAGGAGGTTGTATGGATGCATTGAGAGGGTGGAGCCAGATCCTAGAGATAGTAAATTCTCAGCATAGGGATTATTAGGGATGCCTAACACAGTATTCCTGTCCCTAGGTCCTGTGAGACTGAACAGGAAGTTTGGGACACCTCAGTAATCTGCTTACCTGAATGATATCATTTATTTTTTTATTTTCTATTTTTACTATACTTCTTGGTTTCTCAGTTTGCAGGAATTAGTGTACACCTGACCAGTTATTTGGTTCTTGAACAGGAAATCACACTATGCTCTGTTGAATTTTTTTTTTTTTTTTTTTTGTATTTTAAGGCAGGGTCTACAGGGTCTCATTATTTAGATCTGATTCACAGTGATTCTCCTGTTTACAGCCTCCCAAGCGCTGAGATTACAGGTGGGGGCCACCAGGCCCAGTCTCAATCGCCATCTCAGCATGCCCCAGGGGCGGGGCTGGCACAGCATGTGGGGATTGAGCCCCGGCAGCTGTGCTTGGCCTAAGCAAGGTGTTTTAGTCCCCAGAGCTATCAGGCCAGCCCTGTTGACTTTTTAAAAAATACTATTTATATATTTATTTGGAATAGGGTCTAACTACACAGCTTGGACTCATAGTGATCTGCCTGTCTTAGCTTCCCCAGAGCTGGGACTACAGGCATGTACCACTATGCCTGGTTTTGGTGATTAGCATGGTGGGTTCTGGGGCCACCATAGCATGCAGTACCAGGGATTGAACATGGGTCCTTGTGTGTTTGCCACACGGGCGCTTAGACTGCTGAGCTATCTCCTCGGCCCTGTTAACTTTTTTAAAATAAAAATATTTTATGTACACAAAAGCATAAAACTTGTACTAGCTTTCAAGTCTAGAGCCCGGATGTCTTTCCACTTCATACAAGGTATCTCCCTCCAAGCTGAACTGTGCAAGTTTGGGGACGTGTGAGGTAGATAACCTGTTCCTTCTCGTCTTCTCCCACACATCTTTTCACCACCTCTTGCTCTGTTGCCCGAGTTCCTTAGCTCAAGTTGGCATGTGAATGCAGCTCATCTTGGTGTCTCTGGGCAGGAGGATCACTGGAGGATCTTACCCGCCATCTTACCCTGCCTCCCTCTCCTGTCTTTAAGAGGTTTATCTTCCACATTTGTCGGGGTTTGTCTTTCCCTTCAGGATTTCAGGGTTGAGTCACAAGCACAGACTTTGGAGTTAGGCAGATTGGGTTTCCACCTGAGTCTTCTTGCAAGTTGCATGACATTGGAAAGAACAAACTGGTCTGAGCTTCCTTTTCCTCCTGTCTATTATAATAAATAATAATAATAATAATACATCTTCTCTTACCTTCTGGATGTTGATATGAGGATGGAAAGATGCAAAATGCTCATCAGAACCTGACTTGTTGAAAGCATTTGATGAAGGGAGGTAATTCTTCTTGGAAATGAAAGCTTTAAGCTGCCCAACGCCCACAGGGCCAGTAGCAGTGTTGAGGGTTCAGCCAAGAGGTAACCTCTGGGTTAGAATGACCTACAGGAGATCATGTTTTCTACCCTCCTAGGTTCCCCCGAAGAGAGGCTGGTGTTTCAGAAGGCCTTACTGAAGCTGAAGGCCAGTCGGTCCCAAGGTGCCCTCCAGGATGAGTCCCAGCCCTCCAGGGCCCTGTCACAGAGCAGCCCTCGGAGCCTGGATACCCCCTCCCTTCGACCCGGTGATGTTATCCAAGTCTCTCTGAAATTTCAGCTACTCGACCCACCCAACATGGGCCAGGACATAAACTTTGTTCTCCTGGCGCTCAACATGTCACCCCAGTTCAAGGACCTCAAAGTGAACCTGAGTGCGCAGTCGCTGCTGCATGATGGCAGCCCCCTGCCCCCTTTCTGGCAGGACACGGCTTTCATCACCCTGCCTCCTGCCGAAGGTATGGGCCCTGGATCAAGCGTGAACACACTGGGCACAAAGTGGGTTGTGCTACTGCTGTGGCCAGGGGTCAAGCCAGCCAACGGGGCTCTGAGGGAAGATTCCTGGGACACCATAGTATATATATATATATATATATATATATATATATATATATTTACTGTCTACTCTGGCACAGATTCTTCCTCTTCCCTTTAACTCCTTTCCATCCTTTTTCCCTTCCTTCCTTTCTCCTCCTCCTCCCCAACGTCTTTTTACTACCTCCAAGGATAGCATCTACTTCAGTCCAAAATGTGCATTGTAGAACTTGGTTGGAGCCTCACTGATTCGCACAGTCTTGAACGCGCTCTCTACACCTTTGTTTTTCTGTTTGACAAGCTGGTGCTCAATACAAGTTGGTTCTCTCTTCTCTCGGGAAAAACAACCAGCTCTAACCCAGACACAGCTGATTCTCCTGGCCACTGTCACCTCACCTTGTGCTTTCTCCCCAGAGAGGACCTACACCTGCCAAATCCCCTACGCCCAATACAGCCAGTACTTATCCACAGACAAGCTAATTCGCATCAGTGCCCTGGGTGAAGAGAAGAGCAGCCCTGAGAAAATCCTCGCCAACAAGATCATCACCCTGATTTACCCAGGCATCACAATTAATGTAGGCAAGAGCCCTGCCTGTGGCCCGGGTGCCCCTTAGCTCAGGTTGGGAGACAGTGTAGCCCTGTGAGAGCAGTTGGGCCTGCTCAGGACAAGACTCCTTTTTTCTTTGCCTCTTCTGGTGTCTCAAGGGTGGGAGGCTTATTGAGAGGTCTTCATTGTCTTGTACCTCTAGGGGCTTTATGGGGCTGCTGTAGAGCAGGGCCCATGGGCGATCAGAGAGATCTTCTCTCAGGCCACCTCCTGTGGTTGGCCTTCCTAAGGTCAGCCTGTGGAAAATGAGCCCAGTGGGAAGGGTTCCAATGGGAGAAGCGCCCTGCCCAAAGTCAGCTCAGTTGTCATTTCCTTCTGCCTATGCAAGGCTGCTGCTTCTGCAACCATCAAGAGTGCATTAGACCACACAGACTCTGAGGACCTCTCCCTCTCTAAAGTCCTGTGGTCTTCTGAGTGAGATCTTCAGGGTTGCTTCCCTCCAGTCTTAACTTCTAAGGCCAACTGCCTCCTGGATCCTACCAAATGGCTCGAGGAGTCCCTGATGGGGCAGTGCAAAGGTCTGATTAGCAGTTGAGCTCATGGCTGAGTGTGGTAGTGCACACCTGCATTCCAGATACTCCGGAGGCTGAAGCAAGAGAATCACAAGTTTGAGGCCAGCCTGGTCACCTTAGTGAGACCTTATCTCAAAATAAAAAATAAAAGGGCCAAGAAGAAACTTCATGGTAGAGAATTTTCCCAGTATTCATAAAGCCTTGGGTTTGATCCCCTGTTCCCCCCCCAAAAAAAACCAAATAATAGTAATTTGGGTTTATAGCATCTCAGCAAAGAGCAATAGATGTGTAGAGAAATGACAAGACAAAGGAAATGCACCTTGAGTCTCTGGATACACTTGTGAGGAGGTGACTATAAGGGGATCTCTTAATTGGAGGGTTCTACTTGATAAAATGTTGCTAACAGATTCTTCTGCTGTCTCTCCAGACAAATAAGGGTTTAAAGTGATTTCAAGTGATTAAATTTTGTCCTTCCTAGTAGAAAAGGATTCAGCCCATGGTGGCTGGCTCTGTGGCAAAACTGGCATGGTGTAAAGGCCTGGTGGAGGACAGCTGCTCATCCCAGGGTAGCCAGGAAGCAGACAGAAGGGAGGAGTCAGAGGCAAGAGTGTACCCTTTGAGGTCACCCGCCCTCACCCCACTGCCCACCAGGCCTTACCTCCTCACAGCACATCCTGCTATGAACTCATCAATGGGTGAATCCACCTAGGAGTAAAGCACTTGCACGACCCAGTCACCTTCCAAACACTTGAGAATTTGAGGGGTCTGTAGACCCAAAACCTTAACGGGAGACTAGAGGTCATTTCTTGTGTGTACTGCTTCTCACTGCTTTCAGTTTAAAATAATCCTGGTGCCAATGTGGCATACTTGGGAGTATCATATTTGGCCACCATACAAAGCAGTGCTGTCCGTAAATGTTCAGTGAAGTGGGAAATGGGGACTGATTTCTTGCTCTGTCCCTATGTTGGGCCTTAATTTAGGTTCTAGGAGCAGCCGTCATGAAACAGCCTCTCTCCATACAAGTGATTTTTTCAAACCCCCTCTCGGAGCCTGTTGAAGACTGTGTGCTGACCTTGGAAGGAAGCGGCCTCTTCAAGAAGCAGCAGAGAATCCTGTAAGTGCTGGAAGGGCTCAACCTTCTCTCCCCGTTAGTCCTGGGGCTAACACCACCCTTTTGAACAGAGACTCCAGGGCCAGGCTCCGGACGGACTCTGCTGAGGGAGACACCAGGAAGTAGGGTGGAAGAGTGCTTTGGGGTAATCATAGTGCCTGTGGGGATTTCTGACACTTCATTCTCTGCTGCAGCATTGGAGTTCTCAAGCCCCATCACAAAGCCACCATAACTCTGAAGACTGTCCCCTTCAAGAGTGGCCCAAGGCAGATCCAGGCTAACCTAAGGAGCAACAAATTTAAGGACATCAAAGGTTACAGTAATGTATTTGTAGAGTTTGCCTTATAAATTCTGGGACAGTGAGTTTTAAACTTCAAGTTCAAATGCAAGCTGTACTCCTCCCGCCACAAGGGGACATCCGATAATGGCTCATGCCCTGGGCCATCTGCACAACTCTCCCAAGACTCTTTTCAGCATACAGAGCTTCTGTGGCGTCCCATACAGAAGTGTGATTTGGCATGGAGGTCAGAGGATAACGGTTGGGTTTGGCTGTCACTTACCAGACATCAAGGAAAGAAGACTGGCTGAGCACCTCCCTGTTCTGTCATTGTGATGCTAACTCCCAGTACCAATAAACTTCAGTCCTTTCTCTCTTCACCTTTGCCCTCTGTAACCATGCTCTCCTCAAGAAGCTCCCGCCTGTTCCCACCCACCCCATGGTGGCTGGGAGTGTCCCATTGCTTCAGAACCTGAGCCCATTTGACCTTTCATCAAGTATTTATTGAGTGTATGTCTCTGCCATCATGGAGCACATATTCCAGTGCAGGAAGGGAAGATACATGATAAACATATCAACAGGTGGTTTATCAGTCATGAACCAGTTAGAAAAGCAAAATCTAGGGGCCTGGGAGATGGCTCAGTGGAATAAGCGCTTCCCTGGCAAGCGCAAGGGCCTGAGTTCAAGCCCTTATTCCAAAAAAAAAAAAAAAAAAACAAAAACAAAAACAAAAAAACCTGCAGATGTCACTGCAGATACCACTTAACCAGCCTTTGTGTTTGACAAAATCCTGTGAGATCTCTCCCTTTTGGATTTCCTTTGAATCTCTTCCTTTATGACAACCAAAGGATCCTCACAGTCTTAGCATCTTCATGCAGTGTCACCAGAATATTGTAGTTCTGGAGAGCCTCACATGACTGAGGTTCAAGAGATACAGCCAACTGAATAATGCAGTAAGATAGATTTTGGTAGGGAATCAAATCTTCCAGAGTTTTCTATTGGCTGTAGCTTGTGTTTTACGGTCATTCAAACTTCACCTTTCACCTTTTCCAGGTCCTAATAAAGCAACTCCAACCATCACCTTCTCTCAGACACACCTGCTTTTTAGTAACACCAATCAAAGGTCTGCTACAGAAAGGCACAAAGGACCTGCCCTCCAGGCAGTGGCTGGGGCCTGAGGCAGCTGTCCCACTATGTGTACATGCATTAAATAAAGAAGTTACAGACTTCAATTATACATAAACAGAAGGGCCAGTGTAGTTAACCAGAGGGAGGAAAGGAGTGTGGTAAGAATTACATAGTAGTCTGAGTGTCTCATCAGAGAGAGAGAGAGAGAGGGCTGAGATCCAGGAGCCAGGGCAATGGAGCTAGAAGTAACCCACAATTATCCCATCCTTTAATTATTTCATAATAATCATGAGAAATTAGTTAAGGAAAATATCCTGGAGAGGTGTTTTGTTTCTTTATGGAGACAGTGCCCTCTGACGTACGTGGAAGGTATCAGCTACAGCACCCCAAGATTATTTTATAGATCTTGACTATAACACCATGTTCATTAAGTCACTTCGTATTTACTGAGTTTCTTCAAGGGGCCAGGCACTGAGCTAGGTAGGTGCTGAGGACACAAGAAGGGCCAGGGCCAGCACTACAGGAGCTTGACTGTAGTAAGCATGTGAGGAAAGAAAAGAGGAAGCTATAACCCAGAGAAGGAAAACTCCACAGGAGAAATCTGAGTGTCATGGGAACACAAGGCCAACCAGTCCAGTCTTGGGACTGTGGATCAAGGAAGGCTTTCTGGAAGAAGTGATTGAAAGCTAAAAGACTAGAGGTTGGTCAGGGGTAGACTCAGTTTTTTAGAAGGCAAAAGGGTAGAAAAAGCAGCCCAAAACCACAAGACATTGAGACAGTTAGAAGTCAGTGCAGGCTGAGCTAGTGGGGAAAGAGCTCAGGGAAGAGCTCTGGGCAGCCGTCAAGGGAATCGGGATCACTACCATCTCCTCTTCCGCTACCTTGTGGATCACAGTTGCTGCCTACTGTGGCTAGGCTCAGAGCTGAGTGTGTTTTGCAGAGCTCAGCAGATTCCATGTAATAAAAGTAACATGTAAAAGACAAATGGGTTTCCTCCCTGCTCTGTGGCCAGAGGAGTTTGTAGTTCCTGTCAGAGTTGCTCCTTCGAGTTAAGGCCTTCCTTGATGGCAAAGGCCATTTTCCATCCACGCACCTGTGAGCTGGACATTCTAGACCTGAGGAACAGAACAGGAAACATACAGTAAGGCCCACCCCTGCTCATCCCCAGCACCCACCCCCAACTCTGATCCCCTGACCCTAACTGAACTCAGTGTAATTTTCTTCTTACAAACTCCCAGCACAGGTCCTGGTAAAAAGCAATCTTAGGAAGTGTTTTTAAATCAATTCCTTTTTCCTTGTTGTTAGGTTCTCATCATTAATCCCCTCCCAACCTGAAGAGAAAAAACTTTGGCAGACCAGCTGGTTCAAACAGGAAAGCCTCCTCACTTAACCTGAGAACGAAAGTAAATCTTTTGTCAGGATGGCTCCCAGGTCTGCTTCTCAGGCCTAAGACAAAACCTGTAAATCTACAGAATGACACGCTGTAAATCAGCAGAATACCACTGTCGTCCTGCATTTCCCTCCCCACAAAGAGGCACCAGGCCTACTCATGAACCCTGAGAAACTTAAAATTTTCCATCTTCTTCAGTGAAATGCCCCCTCCCATACCTTATGCTAGTGTATAAAGTTGTCTGTCTTCCCTTGTTTGTGGTCAAGGGCCTTCTCTCCCTTGACCAGGTTGCACCCAGTCTAAAATAAAGATGTCACTGTTTGCTTCAATTATACCTGTCCTAGTGGTCTCAGTTGCTCCATGGAGTGTAGCGTGACACTCATTGTGTGTAACACTGGCAGATGTCAGCAAAGATCCTCTGCTTTCTCATTATGTCTTTGTTAGTGCCCTAAACTAGTCTGAAGTTCAAGGAAATGACAGAAGCTCTTATTCACCTCCTAACCTTCTGAATAAGTAGAGCAGCTAGGGTTGCTTGTGTGGAAAGATCAGGCTGTGCTTCCTCTTGATCTCACCAACTAGCTCTGGAGTGGTGAACCTTTCAGAGCTTTCAAAGATACAAACAGCCCACTGCACACTGCAGCACGAGAATCATAGGTTTGCCACCACTGCTCTACCTCCCCATCATCTGTCCGCTGCCAATAGAGAAGCAGCCAGTTTGTAGCATGTGTGGCATGTGTAGCCTTTCTCCCTGTCCCTGGGCCTGACTTCCTGGTATCCAGGGAGCATACATTGCCAGCATTGGGCCTGCCAAACACAGTGCCAGCACTGAGCCTGCTGCTCTTGCAACCCTGCAGACACAATCCAATTGCAAAGTGCTGATGCCTAACACAGGCGCCTTTCCTCTGACCTTATAGGCTGGGACCTGGCGTTAGGCTGTTCAGAGCATGGTGCTTCCCGAGGGAGGTAGGTCATGGGCCTGCTATACCAAAGATGTTCAGAACATGTTTGAAATGGAATAATAAATGATTCTGTGGGAATATGAGAAGCAATTTATCATCAATGTCAGGCTCTATATATACAAATATCCTTCTGAGAACAGTCTTTCTGACCGGCAGTTAGATGGGGACAAAGGATCATAACGGAGGCTGATTTAAAAGTTTTCCAAGAGCTGGTCTATTTCTTACTTAATGCTTTCATTCTTAGGGCATTGCCCTTCCATGGTTCCTATCAAAAGCCAGATTCTGCCAGATGTGGTGCCTCATACCTGTAATCCCAGCACTCAGGAGGCTGAGGCAGGAGGATTGTCACAAATTTGAGGCCAGCTTGGACTACATGCACAATGAGTTTAAGGCCAGCCTGAGCTACATAGTGACATTCTGTCTCAAAAATAAATAAATTAATTAATTAATTAAAAGCTGGTTTCTTGGGATCCCTCATCCTTGGTGGCTCTGGAACTCCAGCCCTGTGAGGTGACCAGATCTGCTTAGATTCTCAGACTGTCAACTGCCAGCTATGAATCAGCAAATGCTCCACAAGGAAACATGGCAGTCAGAGCCAACCTCAACTCTGTGCAATCTCCTCCTGAGATCTTGACCCCCTAATACTTGCTGCTGTGATGTCTTAAAGCAGATGTTATTTTATCTTATAGTTCCTTTGAGGCTAGGTTCTAAGTTGTCCAAATTGGTCTCAAACTCCTGGGCCCAAGTGACCTTCCTGCCTCAGCCTCCCCAGGGCTGGGACTATAGGCAGACTGCCACTGTACCCTGCCAGATATTTTAAATATTTTACTCAGTTTTTCTAGCTTTTCCCAACAGAATAGGTGGTAATGAGCTAATCTGTTGAATCTAGACGGAGAAATCAATGAGGAGACTGTGGTTTGGATGAAGGCTAATTTTAAATCAAATATGCAGGATGCAGTTGAAAGATCTTGGTTGGAGTCTAAGGTTTACCATGGGGTGTGAGACATTGGGAAAGCTTCAGCCCTGGAGGCTTGGAGGTAAACGTCCAGGGTGGGGAATGCTGTATGCAAGAGGTAATGATGTGCATTTTCCAGCCTTGTCTTAGGCTCTTCTGAGTCTCCAGTCTTTCACTGTTTGCGTCAACTTAATGTGGTCTTCTACCATGACTCACTGTCCTCTTAGATTCTTTCTGGAATGTGGAGTATGTTAATTGATTTATTCATTAAACCTGTGTTCTCCCTAATAAAATTATAACAATGATCCCTCACATGTTTTACAAGATTGAGGTTCAGATACCATGAGGGACCTAGATGAAAGTGTTTTGTAAAATTATGTAGGGGCATAATTACTTTATTTGAGCCTGGGGTCACAATGAACATCTTATCTTCTCTGTCCTCCCTATCCTGTCCACTGATGTGTCTTGATCTTTTTCAAATCTGCCCCTGTCCTTCTTCACCAACAACACTCCCCAACCAGGCCACCCTCCCCTTTTCCTGGCACTATCATAGTAATCTCTTACTCACCAACTCCTTCCCCCTTTGTCTCTTCTAAATCATTTCCTCTATTTTACCAGTGTGGTACATTTAAAATGCAAATCTGATTTGTTGCTCAGATGCTTAAAATATCACTCAATGACCTCTCACTGCTCTGAGGATAAAACCCAAAATCCTTAACATTTAATCCTCGCCTTAACTTTCCTTTAGCTATTCCTGCCTTGAAAATGTGTTCATCCTGTTCTCTCTTCCATTCTACTCCAACCCTCACCTCAGTGCCTAGGCGGGTCCTGCTTAGCTTCCAAGCTTGCAGCTCAGATATCCCTTCTCAGTGTCTTAGTTGCTTTTCTCATTGCTGAGACAAAATACCCAACACCCAAAGTAAAAAGAGGCAAGGTTTGTTTAGTTCACAGTTCATAGAGATTTCAGTTCATAGCTGGTTGGCTCCACGGCAGGGATGGACCATGGAGGAGAGACAGTCCACAGCAAAGCAAGACAGGCAGAGGACAGATTGCAGCTTCACAGCCAACTGCAAGGGAAAGGGACAACCTGCTCTGACAGCAGCTCTCTCTGTTTCTTACATTTTATCCAGGTTACCTGCATTTAGGGCTGGTAGCACTCACACCCTTGATCCTAGCATCATATTCTTGACCCAGCATCAAACACCCTAGGTCCAGCCACCTATCAAAACTCACCTATGACCTCCTGAGGCTTTGTGGGGACACCTACATACAAACCAGAAGCCTACCCAGACTTCCTTTCCGTGGTCTGGCAGGTGAACTAATACTGCAGGAATTTAGTGCTATGTCTCCCCCTGCTGGAGTACAAGCCTCAGTGGCAGCAGGGGCACATCCGTCTAATCTACCACTGTATTATCAGTGCCTAGTCCAGTCTTGGTGTGCGACAGTGCTTGGTAGACATTTGCTTCACAAATGAATAAAAGACTCCTTCTCGAGGACACACCAGCAGAGGGGTGCTGCTCCAACAGGAGGCTGGGGAGCTGAACCGCATGGATACTGCAGAACTCAGCCAGATCCTCCCCCTCACCCCTCCTTCCATCTTCCTCACACCTCCCACTAAACAAAAAGACACTGTTTGTCTCATTGCGGGCTCCCCAAAAGTGTTTAAGTGTTTAAATGTAAATAAAACATTTAATATTTGTCAGCATGCTTTCACAAAAGTAAATCTCAAAGAAATACGATTTCTTTTACTAAACTTAAAAAAAAAAAAGAACTTCAGCAAAGTAGCAGGGTACAAGATCAACACACAAAAATCCTTAGCATTTATGCACAGCAACAATAAACAGGATAAGAAGGAAATTACTAAACTAATACCATTCACAGCAGCTTCAAGTAAAATGAAATACCTAGGAATTAACCTAAGAAAGTAAAAGACCTCTACAAAGAAAACTGCTGCACTCTGAAAAAGGAGATTGAAGAGGACATGAGAAAATAGAAAGTTGTCTCCTGCTCATGGATAGGCAGAATCAATATTGTCAAAATGGCCATATTCCCCCAAACTGTTGCATAGATTCAACGCAGTTTCAATCCAAATACCACCAGCATATTTTACAGATCTTCAAAAAGCCATCTTAAAATTCATATGAAGCAAGAAGAGATCGCAACAAAAGCAATTTGGGGCAGCAAAAGCAAAGCTGGAAGCATAGCAAAACCTGACTTCAAGCTATACTACCAAGCAATTATGGTTTAAAAAAAAAAAAAAGCCATGATAATGGAACAAAAACACAACATGGATCAATGGAACAGAATTGAGAATACAGAAACTTCCCCAGACGTTCAGCTATTGGATCGCCAACAAAGGGGCTCGAAGCATATATTGTAGGAAAGATAGTCTATTCAAAAAGGGGAGGGGCCGGGGAGATGGCTCAGTAGAATAAGCGCTTGCCTGGCAAGCTCAAGGGACTAAGTTCAATCCCCGGTTCCGCAAAAAAAAAAAGGGGGTGCTGGGAAACCAGTTATCTGTATCCAGAAGATTGAAACTAAACCCTAATCTTTCACCATAAGCTAAATTAAAATAAGAAATGGACCAAAGATATAAACATTGAAACATAAATGTGCTGTGCAAGGTGGCTCACACCTGTAATCCCAGCATTTAGGAGACTGAGGCAGAAGGATTGCTGTGAGTTCAAGGCCAGCCTGAGCTACAAAGTAAATTCGAGGCCAGCCTGTACTGCATTGTGAAACTCTTTTAATAAAAAATACTAAAAAAAATATTTTTAAGTTCAATCCCTGCTTCCACAAAACAAAACAAAGCAAAATAAAAAATATTTTTTTAAAAAACCAGAAACATTAAACCTACTGGATGATAAAAAAAAAAAAAAAGAAAGAACAGTAAAACACTTCAAGATGTACTTGTAGGAAAGGATTTTCTAAACAGAGCCTCAACTGCACAAGAAATAATAGCAAGGATCAATAGATGGGATTATATCAGACTAAAAGGCTTCTATATAGCAAAAGAATCAATCAGTAGAGTGAAGAGATAACTACAGGGGCTGGAGAGATGGCTCAGTGGTCTAAAGCACCTACTTGAAACAAGCTTGGCAAAGCACAGGGACCGCGGTTCGATCTCCAGCACCACATGCCAGCCAGACCCGCCCCCTGGTGGGCTGAGCTGGCCACACACACACACACAATAAATAAATGTAATAAATAAAAATAAAAATATAAAAAAAATACATTTAAAAAAATAAAAAAAAAAAGAGAGAGATAACTACAGAATGGGGAAAAAATGGCAAAAGCCAGCTACTCTGACAGAGGACTAATATCTAGAATATATGAAGAACTTCAAAAAAAATAAACCGGGCTGGTGAGATGGTTCAGTGGTCTAAAGCACCTACTTAGAACAAGCTTAGCAAAGCAGAGGGACCGGGGTTCAATCCCCCAGCACCACATGCCAGCCAGCCCCGCCCCCTGGTGGGCTGAGCTGGCCACACACACACACAAATAAATAATAAGTAAATAATTAATTAATTAAACCATCTAAAACTAGAGAGCTAGTCAAGAAATGTGCAAGAGAAGTGAACAGACACTCACACAGGAAGAAATATAAATGGTTAACAAATGTATGAGAAAGCACTCAACATCTCTGACCATTAAAGAAATGCAAATTAAAGCAACACTAAGTTTCATTTTGTTCTAGAAAAGATGACAATAATTAAGAAATCAATAACAAATACTGGCAAGGCTGTGGCAAAAAAAAAAGGAACCCTTCTTTATTATTGATAGAAATATAAACTAGTACAACCATTATGGAAAGCAGTATAGAAAATTTTCAAAGAACTGAAGTAAGTTAAATTCCGTATAACCCAGGAGTCTCCTTGCCAGGTATCTTCCTTCTCCAAAAAGCTTAAGATATTATACTGCAGTGATACATGCATACCCATGTTTATAGCAGCATAATTCACAACAGCTAAATCCTGGAAACTGCCTTTGTACCCACCAACAGCTGACTGGATAAAGACAATGTAGTATGGAATACTGCTCTACTATAAAGAATTACAGGTTTGAGACATTTATGGGAAAATGAATGCACTTGGAAAAAATGTTGAGTGACGTATACTAGATACACAAGCTTAAATACCACATGGTATCTCATTTGAGTGAGGCAAAAAGTACAAAGAAAACAGTGAAGGATGGATAGAAGGGGACTAGCAGCAGGATCTTTTGTAATAGAGATGTGGCCCAAGGAAAAAACACAAGAAATGAGGAGGAGGGGAAGTGGAAAGGAATAGACTGAAGACATGTCATGTACAGGAACATAATAAGTACAATATAAACAATTAATATAAACATTGTATGTCATGATGTAGGAATAGTTAGAAGGAAATGTCTTCTCAATAAAAACACCATGTGTAAGGTCTTGGGTTCCTTCCCCAGCACTGGAAAAAAAAATCCAATCATGAAATAATAAACACACACAAAAAAATAATCTTTTTACCCCAGCTCCCAACTCCCTTAGCTACAGGAAACCAGTGTTTTGAAGTTTACTTTATAGCCTTCCATAGGTCCACACACACACACACACACGCACACACACACACACACACACACGCACACACACACACACACACACACACACAGAGCAAGGCCAGCTGCCCCTTAGTGTGCCTGGATCACCACACAGTCTCAGAAGCCAGGGAAAAGCTGGGCTCTAGAAGACCGACGAGGCCCAGACACCAGATTCATTTTCCTGGTCTTGCACCCTCAGTGACTAAGTACAGAAAAACTGACAAGACCCAGGGCTCAGTCCCAAGGCCAAACCAAACCTTCTCCAATACAGTGTCCTAGACCAGGTAGTCTGGAGAGCTGGTCCCCTGGCTTCAGCTTTTAGGACATTTATCTTCTGCCAACAAACTCTATCCCCTTATCTCTTTCACACAGATGAGTTCCAGACACGGGTGTTCTCTCTGTATATTGTCAACACGGCCCATGAATGTCTAGCAACTTGCAGCCTCTACTATGCTCAGGGGCTGAGTAAGATATGCACAGCTGCGTGGGGGGCCGTTTCTCCTAGGGTCTTTCTGTGTTGCCCAGATAACATCTCTGCGAGTCTCTCAAGGCCACTGAAGAAACAGGTTTAGGGGGTTCTTCAGAGGGTTTCCAGCTGAAGGTCTCCCATCCCCCTCTTTGCCCAGGCCTGACAGTCATACCCTCCCTGGGCCTCCTGACAGAAAGAGATAGACTTTTGAAGAGGGTTACTCCCAGCAGCTGGGCCCCGATATACCAGCAGGGAGAAAGTAGGAGAGAAGAAAGCTGTCAGGGCACTCAAAGCGAAGAGAAATTTTTCTCTTTATAGATTCTTAAGCCGAGAAGTATTCCATAGCTTTTTGGCTGGGAGAAGATTTAAAGAGGAAGCCCAGAAGCAGCAGCTCAAGACTGGTGTTTCCTGTGCTCAAGAGGCTCGGAGCAGCCCACAGCTATGGGACAAGGTGAGTGCAGCCAGCTCACACAGGGCACCAGATGACACTGTGGTAATGGGCAGACCATGGAGGTAGACAGGTGGTCATAGTTGTGGTGATGGTGGGTAACACAGATTCATATTTTTATGTCCGGGTCTCCATAATGTGACCAGTCACAGCTGTGAGACCAATGAGCAACGCCCTGCAAGAGGGTGTCATAGCCTAAGTTCAACAGGAAAGAAAGGACAGGAGACACTGAATCAACTAAAAGAGATAGAGGCAGCCATAAAACAAGAAGCTGGATAGATCCAGAGGAGGATGCAGAGACCTCAGGGGTTCTGCCAGGGCCATTTGGTTTGGTTTTCTTTTGGGGGGGAGTAGTTTGTTTTGTCTCAAGACCTTGCACTTGCCGGGCTAAAGGTTATGCTGCTGAGCTAGCTCCCTATTGTTTCTATTCTTTTTTCTTTTTTTTTTTTTTTTTAATGCGGAACTGGGGATCGAACTCAGGTCCTTGCGCTTGCCAGGGAAGCGCTTACTCCACTGAGCCATCTCCCCGGCCCTCCCTGTTGTTTCTTGAGATCCCATCTCACTGTGCAGTTCAGGCTGGCCTTGAACTCACAGTGATCCTCCTGTCTCAGCCTTCTGAGTGCTGGGATTACAGGTGTGTGCTACCACACCCAGCTCTGACAGCTGTGTGGTGAGGCCCTGTGAGCAGCTGAGAACTCTCCTAACACTGACTCAGTGTTCTTGTCCTTTCATTGGTGAAGGAGTCTGCGGGGTAATTATTGTGTTCAGCACTGTGCTAGGCAGAGGATACACATATGAAAAAGCAAACAAAACCACTGTATCTCAGGAAGCTCACAGCCAGCGGAGAGTGACACGGGTTATAGCTATGAAATGGCGTGAATGCTAGAAAGAGTACAATGGAGGGCCGAGGATACAGCTCAGCGGCAGGAGCACCTGCCTGGCAAGTGCAAGGTCCTGAGCTGGACGGAACTGTGCTGGAGAAGACAGTGGCGGTGCTAGGGGCCAGTGCCTTTGGATCTTGGAGGATCAGCAGACAGGCACCTACTGGGTGAGAAGGATGGGGAAGCATCCAGACAGAACCAGACTCCAAGCCAACTCCAGTGGGTGCCTCTGGTTGTAACACTGCTCAGTATGAGGTATCAAATACCTAAGGCTTGGAGCCTCTGGCTGCTCACTGCCCCATCATGCCATGCAGCTCTACCGGGTGACAAAAGGCCTGGGCTTTATATGTTTGATGTCAGCTAACATCCAGGACTCTGCAGGGGGGATGGTTATTTTATAGAGAAGGAAACTGAGGCTCAATTACTTGTCTGAGGTTACACAACTAAATAAGTAAATGAAGCCAAGGACTTGAACCCTGCCCTGATTCTGGAAGCTCTGCTTTTACTAATGTTTTACATTTATCCGTGGTTTCTCTCTTTTCCACAAAAGGCCTGGGTATCAAGAGCTGTGACTTGCAGGTGGCAAAAAACAATGAGGAGCACCACACCCAGGCCATCAGCTCCCAGCGCCTCATTGTACGAAGAGGACAGTCATTCAGCATCACCCTGCACTTCAAGTCCCCCATCCGGAAATTTCTGTCTGACCTCAAGAAGGTAGCCCTTGTTGCACAGACTGGTAAGTGGGACAGACCCAGACTCCCAGCAACAGGGCTAGGGTGGGAGGGACTCTGTCCCCAGCAGCCTTCAGGGAACCAAGAGACAAATGGCTCTTTCTGTGGCTGGTCTTAAGAAGTCTGTCCCAGACTGGACATGGTGGCACACACCTATAATCCCAGCTGAAAACAGGAGGATCACTACAAGTCCGATCTACATAGTAGACCCTGAACACCCTGTAGACCAAGCTCATGTGTGTAATAAATATTATTTATTGTGATTCACAAAGAGGTTTCTTTTGGTGGCAAATGCAATATCAGCTTTCCAAGTCTAATTGGTAGCACAAGCCACAGTACTCTGGGAGGATGAGGCAGGAGGATCACAAGTGTGAGCATAGCCTGGACAACTTAGTAACTTCAAGAGACTGTCTCAAAATTAAAAAAAAAATAATAATAATAACATTTTTTTGAAGGCCTGAGGACATAACTCAGTGCAAAGGCCCTGGGTTCAATCTTCAGTACTACAGTAATGATAGTGGTAATAATATCAGTTTTCCAGAAAAGCCTGATTGGACTCTAATTAAGGCTAAATATAATATCTAAGGGTTGCTATTCATCAAATCTGTATTACGTGTCAGATAGTGAACCCAGCAGCTTGCATGCAGTACCTCCTGGGTCCCCACATTGGCCTTCAGAGCAAGCATAGTGAGCCCTGCTCAGTGAGGAGCTCCACATCCTCAGAGCCAGCCAGCCACAGACAGGAACTCTCCAGAAAAGAATCCCATCTGTGCTGAACGTAGACTTTGCCTGTTATTATTCAGGCCAGTGACTATACAGGCCAGTAACTATTTATGTAGCATTCACATTTTTTAAAAGTATTTTAAATAAATAACTTAGAACCAAGAGATGGAGGAACGAGGAGGGAGAGAGGGAAAGGAGAAGTAAAAAGAAGGAAGAAGAGTTCTGAACCTGCACCAACTCCCAATGAGGAATGGAATCATTACGTACTGCAAGCATGGACTAATGAAAACAAAAACTTAATCTAGAGACAATTTAAAGTAAAAGGAAGAATGTGCACAAGTTATATCCAATACTGTGCCGGTTTAAACAAGCCACTGGAATGTCTTGGAATTTTGGTATCTGGGGGTGCTGAAGTCCATCTTTCACAGTTGTGGAGGGATGGCTGTACTATTATTTTGCCTTTTTAAAGACCATGAACCTCTCCTAAGTGCAGGTCCACAAGCACTAAGGACCTGCATCACCCTTTACTGTCCTCCAAAACCAACTTTCACCTGCTCCATCTTGATAATACTCTGCCTTTATTACCCCGAGTAATAAAGGCATTAGGACTCTGTGACCTCAGAGTCCTGACAGACTCAACCCCGCACGATTGCAGGAGAGCAGCCTTCCACGACCAGCAGGACCCGAGCCACCTTCCCAATTTCCAGTCTGGGGGATCCAAAGTGGTGGAGGGCAGAGGTGAAGGACAGAGAAGCCAGCGTCTGGACCATCTCTGTGACCACGCCCGTGGATGCTGTCATTGGTCACTACTCACTCCTGCTCCAGGTCTCAGGCCAGAAGCAGTATTTCTTGGGCCAGTTCACACTGCTCTTTAACCCCTGGAACAGAGGTGAGTCTGGGCTTGGGCTGGCCTCAGTTGTGCTGGAGATGGAGCACTCTGTGAACAGCCCCTCCAAGATCAGCCAGCACCACCATTCAGTTCCATAGGTGCCTCCTCAGACCTAGGGTCCTGTCTTAGTGTCACCCCTGGCAGAGGCAGCTGAGGGCTTCCCAGTGAAAGAGAAGATATGTCTCACCACCAAACTATGGCCCTAGTTCAGCCTATTTTGGTCACAGAAGTTGAGACTCACTCTGATGACCTGGAAAGCTAACCTTGATTGCAATGGTATAGGGGCAAGAACTGAAAGGGCTGCAGAAATAGGGTGGATGGGGGACAAGCTTCTGTCTCTCTCTGGTCTTTCCCAGTTTATCCTGTCTCTACAGTGCATTTAGGTTTCCTGGGGCCAGAAGCATATATAATTTAAAGGGTCATTTTAAAAATACAAGGATTTCAATTGCTTGTGGAAGGGTCCACCTTAGTAAGGGTCTCCAGGTTTCAGCTCCATCAGCTTCATAGTAAGTGTGTATGGTTTTGCCATGTTTGTTTCTCCTGCTGTGAGTTCTGTTCTTAAGACAGATCATAGGTTCTTCACTACACTGACCATTGTAACTCATGTCTCATAGTTCAGCCTGTGAGTCAGCTTCCTGGAGTCCAGTGATCTTGTATCACTTAATTTGGGGCCACCTCCGGCAAAGTTCAGCTCAGACTGCAGCTGGGGCTATTTATGTAGACATAGTCAATTTGCCCAAAGTAGGTCCCAATGAAGCATTATATTCTGAAGATTCCTTTGTATTCTGAGGATTGTATTGTCTTCCCTTTTTATATTTTCCATACCCACCTTAATCCTGTGGACTTCCTGGGGCTTTGACTATGAGAATAGAGGAGAGCTCCACCTGGCTTTCCCATGTGAGATACTGGATCACAAGTGCATAGCCCTTTGCTTTGCAAGAATGGGGTTGCCTGAATGGGGTTGCTTACAAAGCAGGACTGAGAAACAAGAGGAAACCAGGAAAAGTAAGAGTAACTACAGCCTAGGCTATAGTTCCTGACTTTCTCTGTGATACCCAAAGCCCATGGCATTCTCCTCCTCACTTTCCTCCTCTTCTTTTCTTTCTTTTCCTTCTCCTCCTCTTCCTTCTCTTCCTCTTTCCTTCTCCTTCTCTTCCTCTTCCACTCCTCTTTCCTCTCTTGTCCAGGGTGGGGTTTCCCAATCCCTGCCTGTTACCAGTGGTAACACAAGAAACCACTCAGATACACAGGCTTAATGTGAGCAAAAGGCTGGATTTATTTTGTCTGAGTACTGACAGGCTGAGATCATGTATGATTTCATCAACTGGCCAAAGAAGTTAAGTTTTTGTAGGGTTTGGAGATGGGGTTATAATCCCAAGGAATCTGGTTGGAATGTTTGGGGTCAAAGTTCCCAGAATGATCACTGTAGGTGTGTAGATACTACTGGGCTTTTGGTGCTGGGGGGATTCTATGTCCTGTCCCAAAATTTTCTTTATAGCCATCTGTTCGGTTTGCTGAGGGAAGCATGGCCTGTTAGTGGTTTCCTGTTGTTTGTGGAGGGCAACATGTTTGCTGAGAGGGTCTGTCTCAGGTCAGACATGACATTCTTGTCTTTTGTCGTTATAGACAGAGAGGGGCCAGAAAGGGGGTGATGCTGATCATGGCTACTTTGTGCATGACAAATGGAGCACCATGAGCAGCCTAACTAGGAAAGAAATTTGAGGGTGGGGATTATATTGAGGAGTTCACCTGAATATGGTCCTATAAAAACTGAGAAATACTTAGGGACTGTTAGGAGAAGCTGTGAGGAGCAACCAAGGAACCTGGTGAAAGGAAGAAGAGGGCCAACCAGACCAAAGGCATTGAGAAGGAAGAGGAAGAGTCTAAGTAAGGCAAAAGCCACCCATTCAGGCTTTATGTGAAAAGGCTGGATTTATTTTGTCTGGGTACCAAGAGGCTGAGATTGCGAATGATTTCAGCAACTGTCCAGAGAAGAAGTTAAGTTTTTACAGAGTTTGGGGATGGGGTTATAATCCCAAGAAATCTGGGTGAGGGGGCTTGCGGGTTAGCTCAGTTGTTTAAGCACCTGCTTGGGCAAATCCAGGCAGGTGCAGGGGAGCATGGTTCGATCCCCAGCTCCACATGCCTTACCAGACCCACCCTTTAGGCAGCCTGAGCCAGCCAACTCCCCAAAAAATTCCAAGAAATCTGGGTGAAATGTTTGGAGTCAAGGTGTTAGAATGGTCTGTGCAGTTGTGTAGATAATAGTGAAGTTCTCAGTGCCCTGGAGATTGCATGTCCTGTCTTAAATTTTCTTTATGGTCATCGGTTTTGTTTGTTGGGCACAGCATTGGCCTTTAGTGGTTTCCTGTTGTTTATGGAGGGCAGCGTGTTTGCAGAGAGGATCTCTAGGCCAGACATGACATCATCTCGATCAGGTTAATGTCATCACTGAATTATTGGAGACTGATCAGGCCTACAGTCTCCCAAATGATGAAGGCTTAAATAAATGAGACAAATGAAATTACTTCAGGGCTCCAGGAAGATCAAAACTGTCTAACAGAATTAGAGATTCTCTGGGGGCTAAGACAAAGATCTTCTCTGGGCAGCTGGTATTTTTTTATTTATCAAAAAAGGGAGGGGAGTTGCTGAAGAAAGGTGAGAACCATTCAAGGACTTATCCAAGTAAGACATGTAATTTAGGAGCACTCTGTCATCTCCAGGAAGGCCTTCACCCAGGAGTGAGAGGCCTGCAGCTATAGTCCTAGTTAATGGAGGTTGGAGCCAGGTGTCCTTAGCTATGGCCTTCTCTTGTTCTTTGAGGCTTCATGGCTTTGCCTGCCATTATAGACTTCAGTTGGACCAGAGATTCACAGAAGTTCATTTACTGTGGATCCATTGCCCATCTCGAGACAAGGGGCCTCAGCCTTGGGCAGACATACAACGAAGCAAGCCAAGCAGTTAATATAAATCCTGCTCAGAGCCACTTCCTAGTGGTCTCCATCACATCCCCTCTCTAGGTGACCCTGCCTATCCTCAGCTCAGAACCTTCTTTTTTGCTTTAGAAGGGTAGACAGGGTGAACAGTAGGTGGGAACTAGTATCATCCCAGCATCCTTTGCCTCATGTGGTCAAATGACATCCAGGGCCCTCCCAACTGCGGAGGCTCCATGAGTTTGCACAAACAGACAAGAAGACATTACAGCCACTTCCACCAACACTCAGGCTTAGGTGTGCTTCTAGATGAGTGTGCTGTCTTGGCCACAGTGCACTCCTCGGATCTCTGCTCACTTGCAAAACCTACTCTTCATTGTTTTTATTTCTGAAATACTTTTTTTGGTCACAAATTAAACTTGAGGGAAAGATGTAAAAAACAGGCTCCTGGGAAGCTCTCTGGGCTGCTGCTTATTTCTCTCGGCTCTGGCTGCAAACATCTGGGAACTATAAGACTTTTTTGGTTTGGCTTCTTCTGTTTCCCTGACTGACCTTGAAGGCTGCATCTGACTGACTTGGGGACTCTGGGATGGACAGGTTGCCCAGGGAGCAATAAAAGAGGGACTTCTTCCTCAGTCTGCATTAGGCCTAGAGCTGCTGGGAAGGCCTGAACCCAAAATGGACTTGCACTGGAGGATGGGCCTGGCAACCCCTCAGGCCCTTGTCCTCCCCTACTTCTCGCCAGAGGATGCTGTGTTTCTGCAAAATGAGGCTCAGTGCCAGGAGTACGTGTTGGACCAGAATGGCCTTATCTTCCTGGGCACAGCTGACTGGATCCAGGAAGAGCCCTGGGACTTTGGTCAGGTACTAAGGACTTCTAAGGACAAAGAGGGTCAGTGGCTATCTTATAAATAACTTTCAATGTTCAGGCTGGACAGAACTGGCAGGTCCAAAAGCCCCTGGTCAGGATGCCATTTCTTTAGTCCATTTTAGCCCCATGGTGCCACCATTTCCTCTGTGCTGCTTAGCACCAAAATCATCCTCCTAAAAGCCATGGCACCTCCAGTGCCTGTTAAATCTTCCATCTGCAGGACAAAGACCAAACCCTCCAGCGTGTACCTGTCCCAGGGTACACTGCTTTCCTTTACCCATAAACTGCCTCACACTGTAGCTCTTGAGCATTCAGGCTGAGCGTTCCTGCTGCCTGGAATAGCTTCTCTCCTTGACCCCCAGGAAGCATCTCTTAAAGCCCTCTGAAAGCTTCTCCTGTCCCTACAAACTACAGAGAAATTCTCTCCACTGAACTCTCTCTTCTGCATTGGCATCTCCACTAGCGCCCTATCATCTGAGGGGCCACAGGTTCACCTCCAGTCTTAAGCTGTGGGCTCCTCCAGAGCAGGAGCTGCATTTGTACCCCCCATTCCATTTAGGAGCTCATTATGTAGAAATGAAAGGAAATTGAAATGAAATTAACTTGGGTGTGACGGCACGTCCCCGTGATTCCAGCACTCTGGGAGACTCAGGCAGTTTTGCGAGTCTGGGCAACTTATGACTTAGTGAGACCCTGTCTCAAAATTAAAAAACAAAACAAAACAAAACATTAGAATAAAAAAGGACTTGGAATGTGAATGTATCTCAATGCAAAGGCCCAAGGTTTGAGCCCCAGTACAATAAGAAAGAGGGAAAAAGGGAGGGAGGGAGGAAAAGAGGGAAAAAAGGAGGGAAGCAGGCTGGCAGGCAGGAAGGCAGTGCTGGGAGCTTGCACCCTGTCAGGAGAGTCAGGCCACAGCACAGGCCCACGCCTGGATGCCCAGCATAGGGAACAGGGGCACAGCAGGGAGAGGGAACAGCCAGAACTCCCACAGGGGAGAGTGAGGCGGGGAAGGACTGGATTATGAGACTGTCCTTGGGATGAGTACCTGCTCTGGAGACACACTTTGTCTTGGCTTGTGTGTTCCTCACAGTTTGAAAGTGATGTCATGGACCTCAGCCTGGATTTGCTGGGTGCAGACAAGCAAGTGGAGGAGTGGAGCCAGCCTACACATGTGGCCCGTGTGCTGGGGGCCTTGGTGAGTGACACGCAGGGCTCCAGAGGAGCGAGAGTGGGACAAGAGTCCTCTATAGACCTGTCCCTCTTCCATGGCCCTGGAAAGCCTTGAATCACAAATGATCCCCTCCTCCAGAGGTGAGGTGTGAGGTTCAGTTCTAGAGAAAGGTCTGATGGAAGGGAAGGACAAGCGATGCCTTCCATGGGGCATGAAAGGCCAAGGGTACCAGGAGCCTAGAGAAAGGCTAGCCACAGTCAAAAGCCAGCCTGGCTTTTCTCAGGTGGCCCCCTCTCCTCCCGAAGCCTCCTGACACTGCACCACCATCCACATATTCCCCACAGTTGCACACTCTCAAGGAGAAGAAGGTCCTGACCACCCCACAGAGCCAGGCCACCCAGGAACAGGCTCTGCTGAACAAGCGCCGGGGCAGCGCGCCCATCCTGCGGCAGTGGCTCACTGGCCAAGGGCGACCTGTATATGAGGGCCAGGCCTGGGTGCTGGCTGCTGTTGCTTGCACAGGTACAGAATGGATGATAGCAAGGAAGTCACCAGCACTGCTTCAGAGGGTGCCCCTTGGCTGCCCATGTAGGAGGGACAGCCTCCAAGGCAGGTGCTGCTTCTCCCACTTTGTCATGTCCAGATCTGGTTCAGACACCCTGTCTAAGAAGCCAGATCCTTATCCCAGCCCCTGCTCCTCCTTCTTGTCTCCTCAGCAAAGCTTTTCCCAAACTCTCTTCCTCCGTTCGCCCCCTCAGAGAAAGCCCCCAGCACTCTCTTCTGCTCTATCCTTGCATGTGGGGTAAGTTGTATCAGCCCCTTAAGGTCCTGTTCTGGGGTGTCAGTTCTAATTCCTGGCACCTGTATCCCCTCTCCTTCCACATTGTCACTGGACATTTAAGACAGAGTCTGTCCAGAGGAGGCACCTGAGAACTGTAGCCCAATGCAGTACCACTGTCGTCCCTGCGCCCTGGCCTCTGCTCCCTCTGATATTTTGCACCTCTTCCACATAGTGCTAAGAAGCCTGGGAATTCCAGCCCGTGTGGTCACCACATTTGACTCAGCTCAGGGCACCGGTGGGAGCCTGCTGGTGGATGAGTACTACAATGAGGAAGGCCTGCAGCACGGAGAAGGCCAGAGAGGCCGCATCTGGTAAGAATCCCAAAGATGAGCTCCGAACAGGAAGGGCTCCAATCCGTGTGGCATAACTCATGCAACCTCACGGCTCAGCACCCTGAGCCTTAAGATTAGGCCCTCAGGACTCTTGGAGGTCAGCAGCAATGTGCATACCCCTTCCTGGAGGGCCACAGCCACTTTACATAGCATCTCTCATCCCCATGAGAAAACTCTTTGAGGTGTATGTAGTTCTCAAAAACTTCCACTCTCCTTGTTTTCCACTCGAACTTTTGCCTTTGCTACCTTCAGGATCTTCCAAACTTCCACAGAGTGCTGGATGACCAGGCCTGATTTGTGCAAGGGTTATGACGGATGGCAGATTCTGTACCCAAAGGATCTGAGAGGAGGTGGAGGTAAAACCTATGGGTGGGGCCAGAACTGCCCAGGACTAACTGCAGAAGAGCTGCGGTCCCTGAAAGGAAAGGAACAGCAGAGGATCCAAAGGGATCTGCATCACTCACGCAGGAGAAGCGGAGGGAAAGATGGTATCTGGGGAGACTGGCCTGTGGCCAGTGGGCTTGAGGGAGTAAAGGTACCAGGCATCATGCCAGCCAAGGGAGAGAGGGCCAGAGGATCTGAAGATGGCCTGGGGATGTGCTAGGCAGGTGCTTGCAGAGTGGGATTGAGAGGTCTGAGTGTAGATGGAGACCTCAGGCCAGGCTCAGCGGAGGATACTTCAGCAGCTGCAGAAGCCTGGTACTTCCTCGCCCAGAGAAGCAGAACTGTCACAGAGCCTGGCAATGGCAAGAGCTCAAGAAAGATGACAGATTCTATGTTCTCAGTCATAGAGCTGGCTTGGGAATTCCTGCGTGCTACATGTGGTGCTACCCTAAGGTCCTTCCTGTCCAGTTTCTGAGAGGGCTTCTGCCATAGGCCACAATCAAAGACTTTTGCCCAAACAGAGGAGTTTTACCTCTGTCTGTGCCCACCTCTCAGAGACCCTCTCAGCTCTGACTTTGATGCTGGGGAAGGGAAAACCGAGTCCAGAATAGGGACAGATGTAATGCATCCCAGGACAGGCAGAGATCTGGAAGTGGCCCCCTTGCTCATCAACTTTTCTCTCCCTCAGTCCTGGGAGCCTGTGAGTTGGTCCCAGTCAGAGCAGTCAAGGAGGGAGCACTGGAGGTGATGCCTGCAGTGTCAGATCTCTTTGCTTCAGTAAATGCCTCATGTGTGGTCTGGAAGTGCTGCAAGGATGGGAAACTGGAGTTGACCAGCTTCAACACCAAGTACGTTGGGAACAACATCAGCACCAAGGTTGTGGGCAGCGACCGCTGTGAGGACATCACTCAGAACTACAAGTACCCTGCAGGTATTGGTCCAGAAGGGCCCAGGCTCCTCTGTACCTGGAACCACAAATGAAAAGGGATAGGCCAGACAGGCTAGGAAGAGCCCTAGTCCTCTTCCCACCACATGAATATGGGTTTTTCAGCCCCAGTCCACACTGGGGACGATATTTCTTTGCTGTAGAGGGCTGAGCATCCTAGGACATTTAGCATGGTAGCATCCGTAAGAAGCCAGCCACCCTGTCCCAATCAGACATTTCCAAAAGTCCTGGGGGGAGGAGGAGAGCAAAATTTTCCCCAGTTGAGAACCACTACTACAAATCAGTACACTCATTATCAAGCCCAGCTCCCAGAAGACTTGTATTGTCGCCCCACCGCCTCCTCTCCAGTGCCCCTCAGCTTGCCTTTCTTTTATTTAGGTAATAAATTGCTCTTCACCTATTTGTCTAAACCAGAGATTTCTACACCCTGGAGTCTCCCCCATCCCCATCACAAATGACCCTCACCTGTCTCCTGAGCCCTTTTCCATTGCCTAGAGCTAATCTGGGGCCTCATCATCTCTTGTCTACAGGATAACAACTGAACCCACTGCCTCATCTCCCTTTCATTTTCAGTTCCCAGGCTAAGCTATCTAAGACACCAATGTCATTTTGCTACCTACCCTCAACACCACATTCATACTCCAGGACATTCCATGGCCCCTACTGTCCAAATTCCTTCACAGGAAGATTCTGTGCCCCTGCAAAACTGTCCTCAGAGACGGTGCTGGCTTGTTGCAAAGCCTGCTCCCTCCTTGTTCAAGGGGCACATTCATGGTACTTCAACAGCGCGATCCTTCAGTGGCTTGGTAGGGCTCTCTTTCTGGGGGGTGGGGGAGGGCTCCTAACATAGGCTTTTGGGGGCCAAGTATGGGCTTAAATGTTTGCAAAGTTTTTGTGTCTTTGGCACCTGAGAAGTAAGCAAAACAACCTTTAAAGAGTACTTAAGGATTTCTACTTTACTTTTTCTTGAGGTACTGATGATCAAACTCTGGACCTCGTACTTGCCAGCCAGGCACTCGTGCCACTGAGCTATATCCCCAAGCCTCTACTTTACTTTAAAAATATTTTAATGGGGCCGGGGAGGTGGCTCAGTGGAATTAGCGCTTCCCTGGCAAGCACAAGGGCCTGAATTCAATCCCCAGTTCCCCCCCCCCAAAAATTAAAATTATATTGCTATACTTTAAACATAATGATTAATATTCATCATGTAGAATTTGTACTGGTACATGACATATCCTGACATCCCCTGCCTTAATCATTTTCATCCTAGACTCAGAAAAGTCTATTGCTACTGGTTTAGAGGCCTGCATTGTCTCTTCCATTCTCCAGGATCTCTTCAAGAGAAAGAGGTGCTAGACAGAGTTCAGAAAATGAGAATAAAGCACAAGAAACACAGCAGCACCCACCCCCCAAGCTGCGACCAGGATGATCCACTATACTTGTTCTTGGAAGTGCCCAGCTTCCTCCCACTGGGAGAGGATGCCCAGTTCTCAGTGACCCTGAATAACCCTGGTGACCAGGAGAAGGAGGTGCAGCTAGTGATTAGAGCCCAGGCAGTATACTACAATGGAGTCCTAGCCACTGACCTCTGGAGGAAGAAAACGTCCCTCACGCTCGGCGCCAACCATGGTAACGTTATTTGGCCCCACCAGACTCCTGGCTGCACCCAGGACACTGCCCACAGGTTTCCATAGATGGCTCTTAGACCTTCTCTCTCACTCAGTTATTCAACACATACTACTGGGACTGACACATTTCAGTGTCAATTCCAACTGCCATCAGATCACCTCACAGAACCGTAACTTGCAGTGAGGAAGCATCTGAGGAGTAAACAGTGTAGCACACGGGGGAGGAAAGAACCTTCCTAGGCTGGCGCAGGCTGCTCCCAGATAACTTACACAAGCTGGGTTTTGAAGGGAGAGTATAAGGGAGACCAAGTGTAAGAGGGGAGGTCAGGAGAGCAAGGTCAGCAGAGGTCAGGAGAGGCCAAAACACATCTAGTAGGAGAGCTGCCTGGCTGAGCCAGTGGTGGGGGGCCAGCCTTCTAGGGTTAAGCTGTGGAGTGGAGCAGGGAGGGCAAGCTTGCAGCACTTCCTGGAGGTGAAATGGGAAAGGACAGGCTGGGTCCATAGTTATGGTTTTTAATTGATTGTTTTTAAGATGAGAGCTGAATTTTGCATGCTGAGGAAAATACCATGGAGGGAAAGACGGAGCCTCAGAAGAGAGATTATAATGGCACTGCTCCTGGGATATTAAAGAGACAACTGAAATTACTAGTTTACACTTACTGAGTACTTACTCTTTGTCAAAAATGGTGCCAAGTGCTTAATAGGTGTGGTTTAGCCAGCTCTCCACAGCAACCTCGCAAGGCAGGAACCATTACTACTCTCACTTTCCGTAAGGAACTGAGACACACAGGGGTTAAATCTCATGGTCGCACAGCTAGTCAGTTATGCAGGGAGACAGGGAACGGATTTGAAAAGCAGGGGACACTCATCTTCCTGAGGCATGAGTGACAACACAGGGATGTCTGTGTCTTCAAGTTGGGAAGAGGAGCCTGAGCTTGATGGGATTCATATTTGCTGGCTTCGTTTTTCTCTGCCAAAGAGGGGCAGCAGCACTGAATAGTTCGGAACACGTGAGCACATTCAGCAGTGACTAAGAGGCAGGCCGAGAGAAGCACTTTCTCTGCTGTGTCTCACTGTACACAAACCACGCCACTGTTAGTGGCCAAGGACAGTGAGGCCCAGAGCACCACCATCCTAGCTCACAGGGATGTGACCAGAAGAGTGCCAGTGGAGATGCTAATCAGGTGGGGCAGGGTCCTGCGTGCCGGCGAAGTTTACAGCTGCTGTAGGGCTGAGGCACCTTTCAGGCTTCAGTGGGGCCCTGGGTCTTTTGCATCAAGTGTGGAGCTGTGGCTCATACCTACCCTTTGTACCAACTCTACCTATTGTGTGTTTCAGTTCAAAATATAACCACCAGACTGTCCTCTTCCTATTTTGAGCAAAACCTACCTGCGAACAGCTGCCTCAGATTCACCGCGGTGGCCACGCACTCTGCCTCCAGCATGAGCTGCTTTGCTCAGGAGGACATTGCCATCAGGAGACCAGACCTTGTCATCATGGTAGGCACCAGATCTTCCCCGAATTGCTGTCACTGCTATTGCCCAGGTCCACACCTCAGAAGGAACCCGTGTCCCACAAGCTTCAGGGCAGATGACCATGTTGCAGTTACCAGACTCTGAAGTCTGAAAGAGTTGCCTTCTTACACATACTACTATGGTTTGAATCTTTGAGAATTCTACCACTGAACCACCCATGCACACATTGGTTTGAATCTTTGAACTTCTTAGTTAAGTTTCCTAAAATTGGGGCCTTCCCAGTTGTTTTGTTCCATATTGATAGGGGTAAAGTCACAGCTTGTGATTAGCATTTTATGTATCTGCCAACGCCTATAGGAGCCTGCAGGTGTGGCTCAGTGGTAGAGCACTTGCCTGGCATTCAAGAAGCCCTGGCTTCCAGCCCAAAACATTTAAAGAGAAAACAAAATCCCTGAGGAGCCATTTCCTTTCACTTTTTTTCTGTACCGGGCATTGAACTCAAGACCTTGTGCTTGCTAGACAGGTGCTTATGCTGCTGAGCTCTCTCTCTGGTCAAACAGCCATTTCCATAAATCAGATGAGGAAACCTGAGTTCTAGAAAGCAATATGCTCAAGATTGTAGAAGTAGGGGGCCGGAAAGATAGCTCAGCAGACTAAGTGCCTGCTTTGGCAAGCACAGAGACCAGGGTTCGATCCCCCAACCCACAGGCCATGCCAGCCCTGCTTGTGGGGTGTGCTGAGTGAGTCCTCCGAGTGCAGTGGTGCACACCTGTAATCCTAGCACTGGGGAGGGTGAAAACAGGAGGATCACTGTGAGTCCGACCTGTGTAGTGAGACCCTGTACCAGATACATAAAAAATAATCAGTGTAGTAGTAAGAAGGTCTAGAAGTTCATGTCTCTTAGTTTAGCTCTCTTTCCACAAGACTACTGTAGCCAAAAAAAAAAAAAAAAAAACTACTGTAGCCAACATGAATGGGATCTGTTCCTTGCCCACAAGGTTATAGTTTAGTAAGGGAGACATGGCACTGGATTTTCTATGTGAGAATTGGACAGAAGTACAAAGTCTTCCTGATATACAGGAAATAAAGGAGATTAACTCCAGATGCTGTGTGGGGGAGTTTCATTAAGAAGGTAATATTTATGCTTGGCCATGGAAAATGGATATAGTTTCAGTACAAAAGTAGGAAGAGGCCACCAACAGCATAAGCAGACTGAGACAGAGGCAAAGAAAAGGAGCCGAGGGGTGTGCTGGGGACAGTAAGTCCCTTCCATGAAGCACAGAAGGGGCCACATGGTGCGGGACCCATATGCAACCTGAGCTGAACGGCAAAGGCAGTGGGAAGCCCTCCAAGGTGCCGAAGCACAGGAGAGCACCATCGCAGACCGTCAGGGCTGGTCAAGGGCGAGAGGGAAGGCAGGAGGACTTGAGAGTTTGAGAGAAGAGGAAGAAATCAGGTGAGCGGACAGGGGCCAGGAGGTGGAAGGAGTCGTGCAACCGAGGGAAGGCTGCAAAGGTCAGGGGAAGGTGTGACTATGGCTGTGTCCTTGGCTTTGCTCCATGTATTGTCGCTTTCCACAGATGCCAGAAGTAGCAGAGCAGTATCAACCTCTCAGGGTTGAGGTCAGCATCCATAACTCCCTGGACTCTCCCATGAATGACTGCGAGGTCTCCATCTTTGGAAGGGGGCTCATTCACAGAGAGAAGAGGTACAGGTAAGTGACAAGTTTCTCATCACAACTGGGCACAAGGGCAGAGAGCCACATACGACTGATGATTTCAAAACAAAACAACTTTCTGCCATGCCCACATGTCCAAAGGAGCATGGATGAGTGGGGCAAGGTAAGTCCCTCAGTCACCTACCTCACCCATTACCATCCGGTCATGCAGGAACATGTAGAGCACTGCTGGTAAATGCCAGAAAGAGGTTAGGGCTACAGATACCACAGGGGGACAGGCAGATATCTTCAGTGTGAGCAGAGAGTTGCATGTACAGTTTTGCTTAATCACCTCACTTTTATTCCCATTCTCTTCTCCCATTCCCATACTGTCCTTCATATCCTCGCTAGTGTGTGTACTCTGTGTACTGCTGTTTCTTAAGCCCATATTTCGTTTCTTTTCATTCAGAGGTAATAAAATTCATGGGCACTGAGTTCATCTCTTTGGTTCCACAGTGCAACCCATCCTGCATCCCCACTCCCCACCACACCCTATACACAAAACTCCACAGCCTGCAAGCCCTCCCACAGTGGTCTCAGACAGCACGGACTATGCTGGACTGAACAAACAGCCTCATACACCTTCTTGAAACTCTGCTGGTATAGAGTTGTATTGTCCCAGGAATGGAACCGCTCAAATTTCTGTATTTGTGTCTTGCACTCCTGGAAATGGTTTTGTATTTATAGCCTAATAGAAATATTTTACTGTTGTCACTTTTTATATATTTGCTAGCCTTTTCCATTTCCTCCCATCAACAGTCTATCCTTATCTTTGTCCACTTTTGTTTTGGTGATTTTGTCATTTTCCTTGTTGATGTGTAGAAGTTCTCACATATTCTAGGTTAAGTGGGCGTTTTAGGTATATGCTGGTTCTAGGTATTGTGGGCGTTTTCTCTGTGTTCACTGTATCTTTCGTTGGATTCCCACACAGTATACTGCCTAAATTTCAGAATGCCTGCTCCTACCATCGCTGCCATCTGCCAGGGCTCCTACAGCCCCTGGCAGATGGCTGGGGGACTGAGCCCCTGCCATAGCCTCATACTCTAGGGGTTACCTCTTGCCACTAAGAGAACTGCCAACATCTAACCAGACCTGTGTGGCCTCCTTGCTCAATTGTGGGGCAAAGATCCTGCAAGGAAATCTGCCATCACTCCCTGTCACCAAAGGTCCCAAGCAGATCAGAAGGAGGCTAGCAGGCCAAGTCCCATCTCCTGATGAGACTCTCAGTGTCTTCCATCCCCTTGTAAACACCTCTGTCTTAACAGCAGCATACTTAGATGTTTACTTCATGATCCACCTCTTCAAAGCAAGGGACAGAGTCACCCAGACTAGGAGCACAATGAACCTGAGGCGGAATGACCACCCACTCTTTCCTTTTTTGCAGATTAAGTCCAGTGCAGCCTGGAAGAACCTTGTGCACCTGGTTCCAGTTCACACCCACGCAGCTGGGGCTTCACAGGCTCACTGTAGAAATGGACTGCGACATGTTCCATAACCTAGTCAGCCACAAAAGTGTCACAGTGGTATCTCCTGACTTTGCAGCTTAAGTTTCCAGCTCTATCACTACTCTTAAAACCACAATTTTGAAACCAACTCTTGAAACTACAACCTAAAATTAAACACACGCTGGGGGAGGAAACTTTGCTTGTCAGACAAATGACTTCTAGGTTGAGTTACCAACAACAAAGCTAGAACCCCAAAAATCAGATTTTTTTTTTAATACTTTGTCATTAGTAGACTTTTCAGGTTCAGGGTTTTCAATCATTTTCTTGTTCCTTAACTACTGTAACAGAGAAGGGAAATGGTCTAATACAGTATTTATATCATTTGTCTCTTTCTGATAAAATAGGATATTAGTTAAGAGTGGAAAATTTAAGGTAATTCTAATGTCACATTGATTACTGTGCTCTCTAAACATTACCCTTAAAGATTCAAAGATGACTGAGTAAAGGTATGAAATATACAATGTAGGACCCAAAGCAGTGATCTAGCTAGCTACAGATAAACTCTTACTAGAGTTCTCTATTCAGGATCCCACAATTAAAGTCTGATAATATAACTCTGAACCAGTGGAGGGGAAAAAAAAATAAAAATAAAAAAAAAAATACACACACACACACACACACACACACACACACACACAAAATATAGTCTTTTTGAGACAGGGTTTCCCATTGCAATTCAGGCTGGCCTTGCACTCGTGATTCTCCTGCCTCATTCTCCTCACCACACCCAGCCAAGAATATAAAAATTAAGTATATAGAAAATACAAAGGATAAATAATAATTTTCCTTTTTAACATAGTAAGGATTTTTGTTGCTGTTTACATTATTATGTTATGTTGCTTTGGCATTCTGCTAAAGTTTACATTTAGTTCCTTCTATTTATGACGTTTGTTTGAAGCATAGGATGGTGACTTAAAAATGTAGGAAAAATTCATTTGGCTTAAGGAACTTCAACACAAAATATACACTTGTTACTCTAAAGAATGACTGAGCTGACCATTCCTAAAGAAATTGAGAAGACAAAAGCAGTGACTTGCAGCCCTGGAGAAAAAGGCCTGCAGTGCAGAGCAGGGATGGAGACTGACCTGTGATGTGTCCAGCCCCACTCCACATCGCTGCAGGATGGATCTACTTGCCCTCCAAATGGAAAATGGAATTATGTGGTGATGATTTTGCAAAAGGATATACCAAGGGCCCTAAAATTACATAAGCTCTTTTTATACAATAAACTATTTCTCATTTATAGAAATGTGGTACTTACATTTGGGGAAATGTAAATATACAACACAATAACAATTCATGTAGGTATAAAAAAAGCAAATCTGTTCAATAAAACAGACAAATCTCAACAAATGAGAGCAATACCAATATATGTTAGAGGCAATGAATAACCTGAAATAATATGCAGAAGGACCTACTGATGAGAATAGTATTAGGATGAAATACTAAGAGGAGCTGGCACTAAATTCAAGTGTTTTTGTTCTACATATAAGTCTGATCATAATCAGATCTTAAGATCTACAAATCCAAATAAAAGGGTACTCATTTAATTGCTAGCAGCTGGTTAGCATTTTATTAAGGCAATTAACATTTTTAACAATAAAATATCATATGAGGGGCTGGTGAGATGGCTCAGTGGTCTAAAGCACCTACTTAGAGCAAGCTTAGCAAAGCAAAGGGACCGCGGTTCGATCCCCAGCACCACATGCCAGCCAGCCCCACCCCCTGGTGGGCTGAGCTGGCCACACACACACACACACACAAATAAATTAAAAAATATATATATCATATGAAATAGAATAAGAAATAGTGTAACTTCCTTAGGAATCTCTGAGGGAATTCAGGAACACAAACTCATGCAATTATATTTTATATGTAGCACAGAAAAATATATCACATTCATATGGTTTATAAGTAAATGCCAATCTAGCCTAATCAGTAGTCTCTGAAGTAGAGCCTCTTATTAAATATAGATAAGAATTCCTTTTTCACTTAGCAAGTAAACTATGTCCTTTTTAAAAAACTGAAATTTTGGGCTGGCCAAATAGCTCAGTGGCTGAAGAGCCTGCTTAGGCAGAGCACAGGAGCCTGGGTTTGATGCCCAGCATGCCGCCCCGCCCCTGGGCATGCTGAGACAGCATTGAAACTGGACATGGTGGTGCACGCCTTTAATTCCAACGCTTGGGAGGCTGAAAACAGGATAATTACTATAAATCCGATCTACATAGTGAGACCCTGTAGACCCCATAGACCCTGTCCTAAATACATTAAAAAATTTGAATTTTTTTCTCTTTTTGAGACAGTATTTCACTATGAAGTTCAGGCTGGCCTTGAACTCACAGTGATCCTCCAGTCTCAGCCTCCCAAGTGCTGGAATTTCAGGCATGCATCACCACACCCAGCTGCTATATCCATTTTTATTCTTATTTTTATTTATTTTTTGTGGAGCCAGGGGTTGAACTCAGGCCCTTGTGCTTGCCAGGGAAGCACTTATTCAACTGAGCTATCTCCCCAGCTCCAACATCCATTTTTAAAAGCAGAATCAGAGCCTGGAAGCAACAGTGAGGGAGGCAGGAAGCACTTATTCTACTGAGCCATCTCCCCAGCCCCAGGAGAATCTGTATGAAGCTGAAAACTCATAGTTCAATTTCACCCTGCGTTAGCTCCTTAATTTTGTTCATACAATCATCAATGGCATTAATCAGTAAAGGGATCCAACTATCTTCTGGTTGAGGAGTCACATGACTTGCTCTGCAAATGAAAGAGAGTGGGTAGAAAAGAAAGAGGAAGTAAATTAGTCAGGCATGGTGACACACTCTTGTATTCCCAGCACTCTGGAAGGCTGAGGCAAGACAATTATAAATTTGAGCCCAGCTTGGACAATTAAGTGACTCAGACCATGTCTCAAAGTAAAAATAAAAGTTATAAAAAATTACAAAGGCCTGGGATGTAGCTCAATCCTCAGTGGCCCAGATAAGAAATAAAACTAAAAAAGTTAAACTTAGTACAGTGTCAAGGGAAAAGCTACTCCTCAGGAGGATCCCTAGGAGAAAACAAAGACCTTCACAGAAATGGAAGCTGAAAGAAAACCCCATAGCCACACTTTTCCATTGCTTGAAACAGGGCTTCTTAACAAGCCCAATGAAGAAGTCTTCATACTTACTTTGTAACTTCAAGTGCCTTCCTTAAAACAGATACAAGTTTCGCAGACTAGAAAAGAAACAGAATAATTACTCACTCTGAGCCCTGCCATCAAAAGGAAAGAGGGTAAACATTTTTTAAAGACCCAAATAATTTTTAAAACCCTTTTAAGAGAGAATCTTGGAAAAAAAAAAAAAAAAAAAAAAAAAAAAAAAGAGCCGAAGATCGATGGAACAGATCAGAAGATGTGCGCCATTTCACATGTAATGATTCAATACCCGCTATATTCCTGGAGATTAAAAAAAAAAAAAAAAAAAAAAACCATACAAAAACGAAATGCTGATTAATTTACAGTGTAAGATTATACTTTTCCTCTTTTTCTTTGATCTGGGAACTATTCAGCCCAAGGTGGCCTTCACAGCAAATTAGCCTAACTCAGCCTCCTGAGTGCTGGGATTACTTAGTATATACTACCACCCTCAGTTTCAGATTCTTTTGTATTTAGTAAAATCTTTTTTTTTTTTTAATTTATTTATTTGTGTGTGTGTGTGTGTGTGTGTGTGGCCAGCTCAGCCCACCAGGGGGCGGGGCTGGCTGGCATGTGGTGCTGGGGGATTGATCCGCGGTCCCTGTGCTTTGATAAGCTCGTTCTAAGTAGTGCTTTAGACTACTGAGCCATCTCACCAGCCCAGTAAAATCTTCTTTAATACTGCTGCTATAGCATTCCCTTAAAAGTTTCCAAAATTTAAAATATTAATTTAAAAAGAACAAAGAAAAGAATGTAATTCAAATTTACCCTAACTGCCCGGCAGCTCAGAATATAAAGCAGAAATAACTAATACTCCTTTTTTATTAAAAAGAATTACCGGGCTGGCGAGATAGCTCAGGAGACAAAGAGCCTGCTTTAGCAAGCTCAGGGACCAGGGCTCCACCTTGGGTCCCACATGCCATGCCGGCCCCATCCCCGGGGAGCATTAAGCCAGAGACAAGAGTCAGGGCATGGTGGTGCATGCCTATAATCCCAGCACTGGAGGATGAAAAGAGGATCACCATGAGTCCTATCCGCGTAGTGAGACCCTATACCAGATACACAAATGAAAAAAAAAAAGAATTACAGAATTTTTTATTTTGCAATGTATTTAGTACAGGTCTACAGGGTCTCACTACACAGAATTTTGAGTATCAAGAAAACACAGTGGGCTGCTTCAACAAAGCAGTCGGGCTCAGGTTGCTGTGGTTCGATCCCCACAACTCAAGCCAGCCAAACCTGCCCTGAAGGCATTTGGAGCAAAAAAAAAAGAAAAGAAAACATGGTGGAGGATAGCTCAGTGGTAGAACATATACTTAGCATGTGCGTAAGTCTGTGTGAGGCTTTGTGTCACTCCCTCAAAAAAACCAAAGAAAATTATATGCAGAGGTATGCATGCTAATAACATAAAACAAAATATAGATGTATATAATTTATGTATTTAAAATTTTCTGTAGCTGAGTATGGTGGCAAATGCCTATAATCCCAGCACTTGGGAGACTGAGGCAGAAGGATCTTTGAGAGTTTGAGATCAGCGTGAGTTACAAAGAGAGCTCAAGGCTAGCATGAACTGTATAGCAAGACCCTCTCTCAAAAAGGCAAAAACAAAATTCTGTATTAGCTATTATGCTTGGAAAATCTGACAAGGCATATGGCTAGACATTTATTTCTTGAAATCAATTTTTTAAAAGTTAATGGCAAAGAAAACCAGGTTAAGACCCAAAAGGAACCTATTTTACTTCAAGATGTTTACACACTATGAATATACATGTGATACATATTCTACAACTAATTTTTCAAATTTGAGAAGCAGTACATCACACTGAAAATATAAGCCATTTAACAATTAGACTTCTCTTTCCAGTAAGCATTAGAGATAAAAACTGGAGCTTATAAAAGTAAGAGAACTACTGCCTGTTAAGCACAGGTTCCTGAGTTCAATCCCCAGGACCCACTCCCCCCGGAAAAAAAAAAACAAAAAACAACTCAAGTTTCTCCAGTATAGGGTGCTGCACTTGAAAACTGCAACAGAACTTGGTAAAGAGCCTGACTTCCATGGCGAAGTGATACAGTGCATTCGTGTCAGGCTACAGTGTGTTCCTGGAACTTTTTCTGCCTATACTACAAATTACAAACTTATTACTTCAGGCTCAGTGATTCCTAAAGCACATGTAGTTAATGATTTCTTTTCAAAATAGCATTTCCTTAGATTGTGGGACTTTTCAAAAAAATCAAGTGATTCTAGAAGAGAGAACTATCAAAGTTCATGGCTATAATATTTTGACTTCAGCAAATATTTATCATGCACAAATACAAGCAAGAACTGTGACCTTAATGTGCTTGTATCCAAGTGTTACAAATAAGTATGTGCCCCGTAGTGTAGAAGACTTGTTAGTGACTAGTGAAATTCCACCAACTAGGTCTGTAACTATTCCCTCAGAGAATACTTACATTGATTCGCACGGTCATATGGCACATGGGCGGATATATGCTCAGAGCCAAATCATCCACACTAAGAGCAGAAAGCAAAAATAATAAGAAATGAAGCTCAACTACATGTTTCCATGGATATATAGAGAATCTGTCCCAGAAATGCATATTAGTTTTATAAATTAAGTTACTAAGCAACCAATACAGCATCAATTCAAGTATTTACTGAAACTTACATACCGTCTTTCACTAAGGAGGCAAAGAGGAGGGGTGTGCTTGGTTCACAGGTTGGAAAATTATTAATTCAGTAAAAAATGTGAGGCTGTATGCGGGTGTGATGGCACATGCCTGTAATCCCAGCACTTGGGAGGCTGAGGCAGGAGGTCAAGGCCAGCCTGGGTTACATGCTGAATTTAAGGCCAGCTTGAACTGCAAAGTGAGATCCTACCTCAAAACAAAACACAAAGTGAGGGTATGAGCTCCTGAATACAGTAGTGTATGCTTATAATCCCAGAATCTTGAAAGACTGAGACAGGAGGATCACAAATGTAAGCCCAGCCTAGGCAGTTTAGCAAGACCCTGCCTCAAGATGGACAGACAGACCAACAGATGGGCTAGGTGTAAAAAGGTTAATGTAAAAGTAATGTGATGAGTTAATGTAAAACTAAATGTAAAAAACTACTCTGCTCAACTTTTTGTGGCCCTGCTTCCTTGTAAGACCACAAGCAGGCTTGGTGTACCGTTGATAAATGATCAGTAGACTGAGAGTTCTCAGAAAACAATGCTCCCAGAAAAAATGTATGCTGAGTAATGGTCATGCTGTCCCTAAAGGTACTAAATGACAAATTTGTCTGCCAAACAGGATGCAGTTTCTACCTTTAAAACCTCTATACTTTTAAGGCTCCTGGCTGTTTGTGTGCTCCTGGTCAAGCAGTCCCAAGCCCGATAATAAAAGGCACATATTTAACTTTTAATTTGGATTCAGGTCTGGTTTCTATGTTGAGAACCCATAACACTAGGTAGGGATACAGGTCACAAAGGCCCTAGGTTCAGCTCCCATTCACACACACACACACACACACACACACACACACACACACACA